ATATGAAAATGTAGTGTTACGAAATGAAATTTGGGTACTTGTCCTAATTTGGGGCTTACCAGTACTTATTTGGGATAAGTTATTTTCTTTTTGGTTTTTGAGCTCATTTATATATTAGCATGTATGGTTACATTCAATAGGTATACCTATATATATATGTGGGATAGAAACTCATTGCCTCCAGTCATATTTTCTGGCTAAATTTGCTAAAAAAACAAGAACCATGTCAAATTGAATGCAATTTTTTTCAATGGATATGGAATCACTACATGCAAGGAATGAATCATTCGAAATTCAATTGTTTCTTTTTCTAAATTTTAGTATGCATAAATTGTGACGGTCTAAACAAACAATTTCACCTTACAATGACATCTAAATCCATGATTTGAAATCCCTCCATCCAAATTTGAATTTCTTTAAAGTATTGAAATAAAAAATATCAGTAAATTGATAACTAATTCGTATCTCATGCTCATTAACAAAATGTAAATTAACTCCACATGGGTTAGTTTCAAATTGAAACTTTACCTTTTTTAAGCGCAAACGTTTCTTCTAGTCCAAACCAACCTTTCTTTTATTTTTATATTTTTGAAGGTCAAATTAGTAGTAACTGGGAAAGCCTCCACCGCACAATGAGTCTATGACCTTGTGAATGAGATGGCCTTCTTTGAATTGAATTTCCGTATTGCTCGAAGCAGGACCATATATGCATATGGCTTTTGGAAGATCACTCCGTCCCGCCGCCGTAATCGGCTTTTTCTCGAACAGTCGGTGTGCATTTTTTTTTTCAAGTTGAATTGTTTTTGTGTGGTGTGGCATGGCAGAAATTTCAAGGGCTAATTGACCCTTAATCAGGTGGGACCCACATCTGGAAATGTATACCAGGCGAAACGTCAAAGTCTTCGTCGCCTAGCACATATAACTGCAACTGCCCCGGTACACTTTTTGACCTCATGTTTATTTAGCATATCTGTTTGTATTAATGGTGTTTTAATTTATACACAAGTCTAGGGTTTTCTTGTTCCATTGAAAATGTGATCATCTTTAAACTTGGAAATGATAACTATTTGTATTATATTTACAAATTAACTCTTTATCGTGTCAATGAAAATTACGTTGAAGTTAATTATATCAGTAAGCATCGTGTGATCGTAATACTATCACTAACTAAATTTTCTAAACATCTATGATTTGTGTTAATGGAGTGAGGTACATAATCATAAATCATAATAGAGATTAAGACTTCTGTTCCTTGGCGTGATGCTTTTGTAGTCCGACTTTTTTGTAAGAATAATCAAACATTTGAAATTGAGCACTACAGATACTTTCTTTTTTAAAGAACGTACTTAAAAGATAAAACTAAAAGAAAATAGAAGATATAACTCATGTGGTATCCAAATTTTAGGGGCACAAAGAATATTAAGGGGTTTGGTCAAAATAATACAACCCATATACATGTCACATAACTCGTGGATAGAGAAGAACCCTTCTTTTTAGGCTTCTTGGATCCTTTCAGACGTAATTTGAATAGAACTATACCTAAGTTGACTAATTAATATCATATCATACGGAACTTAAATTGTATATTTGAATTATACACCTGTAAAAATAACTTATTCAAAATACAAATAGGAAAATTTATGTATGTATCAAACTGTGATTGACAAATAACACGTAATGTGGCTGTCACACCAGCACATTTATATCATTCCATACGAAAGAGGTAGGAAATTGCATTTGGATAGTCTCATTTATGTAGAGTAGTTAAATTGATGATGATGATGCTAAGCTGACTGAGGGGGACTCACTTTATTATGACAATGAGAAAGAAGCAACGTCTGATGGACGTTAACAAGAAGCCTCTCCTAATGACTTTCATCACCTCCTGCCTTGTATGTTAGTACCTAATTTGCAGTCTTTCTCCCCTAATTTACGTCCATTTGGGCAAATGATAGGAAAAAAAAATATTTATCTTAATAATATTGTTTTGTTTTCTAATGGCTCAATGATTTGTGCCAAAAAAGAAGGGAGCATTGTACTTCAAGTCTGTACTATACAAAAGAATGTGGACCGTAATACAATTCAAATGAATTGGAAAATTCTTATTTTACAACATGAGAGCTAGACCCACCTGTATTATATTCATGCATATAGCTTTACTGAATGGTATTTTATGCAAGATGGTTTTTAAATTAGAGACCAGTTTAAACATAATTTAATTGCGCCAGTTGAGTATATCTCAGTTGGTTAAGTTCTTTTATCTTTATCAGTGTGGGCAAATGTTTGAAACGCCCTGACAACCAATGAATATTACTTGTATAACAACAAAATAGCATCTTTTTCACCCACCACCCTGTTATATAGGTTTATTCAAGAACATTATGCAAAAATGTTTACGGAAAAAAATGGTCCAAGGTTTTGGTTCCATAGGGCCTACCTCCCTCATTTAGGTTCCTTCAAAGTTGAAATGAAGACATTTAGGACCAATGAGGAGAAGAGTTTATTATTAACATAGAAATCAAAGTACAGACAACGATGAGAGAAAGAAAGGTAGAGAGCAAAGATGCCATGAGAATAATTGTTGCTGTTGCTAAAGATGACGGCCTCCAATTTTATTGGCACCAATGCTTTTTTGCACATCACTAGCTGGGAAGAAGATTCTTAAGAATAGTATAGGCTGTCCAAATTTTGAGAGAGAGAGAGAGAGAGAGAGAGAGAGAGTCTTTTTTTGTCTTTTTTTTTTAAAAACAAAAGAGAGGGAGAGAGAGAGTCTTTGACATCAATAATTTTAAGTACCATCCCTAAATTGCAAAATGTTTTACCAAGAAATGAGCAATGTTCTTGGTGTCGTACGGCAGAGATAATGAAAGTCCCCACAGGCAACTATTTTTTGAAGGTGATGGGGATTAGACAACCCACTTGCTAAGTGGGTTGAGCATTTTATGAGTATTCTTCTGACCTCCTCTCCAACTTCCTACCTTCACTTTTCCAAATTATTTTGAGGTTTCTCGATTTTACCTTCCTCGGAAAGTTCTTACATGTTATTATTTTATTAATAGTCGTCATTTATGAAATTTGAACTCAATATCTCATATCATCTAACAAAATTGTGATAAAGTAGCGCAAGACCAAATCGCTGGAATCTCCCAAGAAATACACACAAATTTGAATTTCGGGACATAATTTTTTGAACTTATTAATTAAAATATTTTTAAAATTTTATTGTGTGGCTGTTCTAGTTGGAAACTTATGTTCCAAATCCAGTGAAGACCTAGACCTGCAGTGGCCCTCTCCTTAGGACTTGTATTGATTGAGATGTACCCAAATCCAATTTGGGGTCCTCATATCCTGAATTTGACTCTGTAATAGGACTCATTGAGAATTTTACATATAAATTAGTTAAATTTTATATAGTTTCCAAACATTAAAAGTATGCTTCTAATAAAGTGCATAGAGATGTTGAAACTAGTTAGATTTCATTTTCATAAAGATTACATGATTCACCCATTTCATACTTTAGATTATGCTCAAAGAAAACATAAATGAATTATTTGGGCACAAAGCATCTCCTTACCCATATGCAATTATATTTGTTGTATAGAAACATTTTACACCATGAGAAGGCCACCCAAAGTATGACAACACATTAAAGAAGATAAAAATGAAGTTGGGTATGCATGATGGGTCACATGGATCAATATGAGACACAAACTAAAGTTGTCCTTGTAACATACAGATTATTGGTAGGCACAATAGGAGGTGGGAAGAGAGTGCACATGTAAAGCATTTTGTTCTATTTGGAAAAGAAAAGGCTAAGCTCATGAAATTGTTCTCCAATAAGTTTCCAGATGGTAGGTTACAAAATTAAACACAAGGGCACCTAAACCTAGTGGTGGAGGGTTCTTGGCATGTGAAGTTGTCACAAGCTCAAAGAAAGTCGTATGCAAAACAAGGCTAGCTACATTGAAGATGACCATTGCCTGTGAACCAATCTTTTTGTTATCTTGTAAGAATCTAATCCTAACAAAATGGTGGAGAGAGAGAGAGAGAGGAAGTTGGGGGAAAGTCGTGAGAGCCATGATTTTTGCTTGGAGAGTCCACAAAAAACCCACTAAAGATAAAAAGTGGAAGATTTGTTTAGGCTTTTTCTCTCTAGTGGGAAAGTGGGGGTGAAAAAGATGGGCATGGGCCTTAGTCCTTTTAGGTTGAGGTCCCAATTTTGAAGCAGAATCTGCATAAAAAATTGTAATCTAGCAGAAGTAGAAACCTACAACAAAGGAAAAAGACCCACGAGGGTTCTGTTGCTTTGCATGTGAAAGGCACTAATTGCTCCATAAAATGAAGTGTCTCTTATTTTGCTCAAGATAGAGTCCATTCATTTTTTTGCTCCTGCCTCATTGGCTACTTATAGCCTTTTGCCTTTATATCTATCCTTCGTATACATATATGATGAGTTATGTCATCCAATTTTGCTTCACTATCTTGCCAACCATCCATTTTCTTCTCTGCCCATCTATAATTTCAGGCCTATCTTTCTGTCCTTTTTTCAAATTCTCTTCAAAACCTATGATGATGTTATGGTGCTCTCCATCTGTTAAAATTTCCAGCTCAATTAGCAATGAACCAAAACGAAAAGTGACCCACTTGACCATCTCATGTCAAAATTTGTATGAGAGGAGCTCATTATGCATGCTTAGATGTTTGAAGATGGTATCTTCTTGGCTTGTGGCGCCTATGATCCTGGAAAAATGCATATTCAAACCCAATAAAGAATTTTTACTCTTTTGTTGATGACCATGTTAGCAAGACTTCGCTTGGTACTTGTTGTTTGAAACTCTGGGGAAACCAGAATAAAAATGAAAACGTCTATATAAATTGGCTGTATAAAGTCGGACCAAATAGGATAAAAAAGGAAAAAACTTGGCTGTATAAAGATTTTGAATTGCAAGACAAATCGTTCGTTGTTGACTTGTTGCCCAACCCAATTCTAAAAGCCCTGCTAAAAGTTCCGAAAGCCTAACTCCAATATAATGATTAATTTTGTCGAAATCCACCAAATACAAAATATAGATACTAGAATTAGCAAAATGGGAATTCCAAAAAAATTAAGCATCAACACCTCGAGGATTTACAGAAGTGTAGGAAGCAACAGAATTTCTGCAACAATGGATTCGAATATCAGGCTCATAAACTGTAACCCGGACTCCATCTTCCTTCAGGCAGTAAAGCATCATAAATCCCTTCAGGCAGTAAAGCATCATAAATTGGTTGTTCCACCAGCCAGAATGTCCAAATCAACTTTCAACCATCGGTTCGGGGTCAGATGGTTCTGTGAGAGATGGCTGTGTGAGAGATTTGTTGGATTGACGTACAGAATTGAAAAGAATGTCCTTGATAACCTAAGCAACAACAGATGAGAGCAATTTTGTCAATAACGGACAAGAAAACTAGTTGTTGCAAAAACCTTCTGCTCAGAGCATGCATGGGGTATATGAAAATCGGCAAAGCCTGGGCTACCTGTGACATCAGACCGTGCACCTGCTCGACAGTTATCTTTGCACTGTCACGAGTAATTTTGGCAAGTTGTGATTCTTCCTGCAATTCATGAAGCCATTGAAATTATAGACTCAAAATAAATTACCAGCAATAGAGGTAACCAGCAACATGAATAATGTTAAACATTAATAAGATACCAAAACAAATTAAAACACAGTAACATCTTCCTCTTAATCCCAACTCTGTCCTGCATAGAAATGAAATCACCAGGTATGCATCTCAAATGTCACCTGGATCTAAATGGCCTGTCTATGGGACTAAGTGGGAGACAGGAGGAGAAAAGATATGGGTACAATACTGCTAAATAGTTGAATTTGTAGGAAAACAAATGTTTTCCTTTTAACAAGTGGAAACCAAACATAAATGCAAGTGATTCTCAGGGTGGGAAAATAATTGTGTCTTTTATCTTTCTATTTTCTTCTTGATATGTACACATATTTATCAGTTTTCATGAAAGAGAGAAAAGAACAGAACTGAACGAAAAGGAAGAATGACACCATGTTCACACTTCAATGGACATCTACAAGCATAGCCATGTGGAATGATGTAATTTTAAAGGTGTGTTTTATCCACACCATTTGCCAGCCCTAACCTTCTCTACCTCTATATGGGTAACAGCTCCCTCTTAGCAGTTCCTAAATATATGAATCACAATCCATTTTATTGACAACTCTTCTTCTAAATCAAACAAGAGAGAGAGAGAGAGAGTAGGGGGGGGGAGAGATTTACCTCCTTCTTTCTTTGTGGGGGAGTTATTAATGGCCCAAAGCGAGAATGAGACAAATGATTTTCTGCTTGCTCCAGTTTTTCAGCTGACATGATGCAAAGAAGACAACTTAATATTCAGTAAAATAATATATCCAAATAATACGAGCATGACGAATGGAAATACTCGAATAGGCAATATGCAACAGGTAAGAAAGTACCTAGATCAGAAATTTGTCCAGCAACATAGTCTCCATTGCCCAATAAAGGTGAGGAAGAAAGAGTATTCACCCAATACTTGTTCCAAAGAAGATCCAAGAGGTGGCAGTCAAGAGAAGACTTGAAATAAGTGATATCCAGAGAATAATACTGCATAAACAAATACAAATGAGTTTCAGAGAATAACAAACTAAAGTTTCACAAAAGAACCGTAGGATAAAAACATAATAACCTGTTTACAGTGCACACCAAAGTCCTCAATTTTGTTCAGAGGAATGGTCTGATACTCGGACACAGGGTCATCTGGAGGCTTATATCCTTCTGGGTATGTCCTGAATGCACCGATGTCAACCTTTCCAGCTGACACTGTCCGAGTTGGATCAATAACAACAGCCAAAAAGGGCTCCTGAAATTGCTGGTTTAGCATCTGTGTGGAAACATCAATACCCGAAAGCCAGCATCCATAACCAGGGTGAGAATGGTACCACCCAACCACATTCTCCAACCGCCCCGCCTATACCATAACATACTCTGTAAGAGGATTAACCTTGAAAAAAACAGAACTAATACATGGGACTCTAATAGAAGAATTCTACTCTACAAAACTACAACAAAGACTTTGAGAAATTATACTTACCACATTTTGCCCCACTAGAATCCTAGCAACTATGTACAAAAGAGGGTTATACAGAACTGTATTCAATGCAATAGTTTGTTCACAAGCCAGCTCTTTCCTATTACTCATAAACCAAACAGTGTCTCTGTACAGCCACCCAAAGAAAGTGGCCAAAAAAGAAACAGATATAAGGGATTTTTAAGAGTGGCATTAAGGTCTTTTACATCATATTGAAGAATTTTCGCAAATGCAACAATTCCATGACGCAATAACCCAACCGCAACAGCAATTAGGGTTTCTCAAAGGCCTCAAATTCATCCCCAAACCATTAAAAACTATAATAACAAATTAGAAGAACGAAGAAAATACGAAAAGAAGCACAGACCTGCTTGTTGGTCTGGGAATAATCCACCATGTACTCATAGGCATCGGCCTGAGCATTAACCCTAGTCTCTGTCCCCTCAACAGGCAAAGCAAAAGCGTCCATGACGATAATGGCGTCACCGTCCGTCTTGCCCTGCATGAGGCCCATGACCTCGATGGTCCCACCGGAACGGGCGTGCACGACCATCTTCAAGAGCGCGAGGGCGGAGATCTTGACGCGCTTGAAGTAGTGGGGGTCGTTGGTCCAGGGCTTCTCTTGCTGGAACTTGGCCTGCGCCGCCTCGTCGTAGTAGAATATGGCGTCGGCCGATGGGTCCGCCTTCGACTTCGCCACGCTCGGAGGCGTGTCCATGGGGATTATGTTGTTCTCTAGCTCCCATGTCTGCTGGGCTATTTGCGCGTCCATGGTGTTTGTGAAATTGACTCTTGAGACACTTTCCGTTCTCTTTGATGTAATGTACCAGTGTGACTGACTCTGCGTAATCGAGTGAAATCGACTTCCACTAAGGAAATAAAAATAATAAATTGCCACTGGGCTGGGTTTTTGGGATCTATTGGAGAAGATAAAGCCCAATGGGTTGTGGCTATTATCCCTTAGCATGTCAAAAGAGCAAAATATAATATATATATATATATATATTTTTATATACAAGCGATAGCAAAGGAAGAATGAATCAAACTTAGGACTTCAAGTCCAATGATAAGTATTCTTAACCACTTGAGCTAATAAGCCCCTTACATTTTAGTTTTATCTTTGTAGAGCAAAAGAAAATATGTTATCATATATTTCATCATTTTATTTTTTAATAATTAGAACTCATTTGGGAGTACTTTCGGAACTGCTAAAAGCAGTTGTCTTATAAAAATGATGTTTGGCAAAAATTATATACAAATTTATAAATAAACCCAATCCTAGACATGTATTTATAAAAAAACCCAAGTACTATTTAAACATAGAAACACACCCAAAATCAACCCCAAAGTCAACTTTTTGAGTGTGTTTATAAATGAGTTTTGAGTGTGTAATGATAGATTTTGGGTGTGTTTATATGTTTAAATAGTGCTTGAATTTTTTTATAATTTCAACCCCCATTTTGGGTGTTTTAGTGAAACTCCCAAAATTATAAGAGTGCTTTGCATGGGACTTAATGTCAACATATCGCGCATACTCAAACAGGTGGTTTCCACAATTCCAATCAATTTGGAAAATTCTCTACAATTTCCTTTCAAGTCTAGCTAAACGTAGACTAAAATCCCATGACATGAAAATTCCCAACAGTAGTTCCTACCTTGTTAACATAAATTAAAAAATTGACAAATTACAAAGGCTAGAATACAATAAATTATCGCGCTTGAGGGGGTGGGGGTCGTTGGTCCAGGGCTTCTCTTGCTGGAACTTGGCCTGCGCCGCCTCGTCGTAGTAGAATATGGCGTCGGCCGATGGGTCCGCCTTCGACTTCGCCACGCTCGGAGGCGTGTCCATGGGGATTATGTTGTTCTCTAGCTCCCATGTCTGCTGGGCTATTTGCGCGTCCATGGTGTTTGTGAAATTGACTCTTGAGACACTTTCCGTTCTCTTTGATGTAATGTACCAGTGTGACTGACTCTGCGTAATCGAGTGAAATCGACTTCCACTAAGGAAATAAAAATAATAAATTGCCACTGGGCTGGGTTTTTGGGATCTATTGGAGAAGATAAAGCCCAATGGGTTGTGGCTATTATCCCTTAGCATGTCAAAAGAGCAAAATATAATATATATATATATATATATTTTTATATACAAGCGATAGCAAAGGAAGAATGAATCAAACTTAGGACTTCAAGTCCAATGATAAGTATTCTTAACCACTTGAGCTAATAAGCCCCTTACATTTTAGTTTTATCTTTGTAGAGCAAAAGAAAATATGTTATCATATATTTCATCATTTTATTTTTTAATAATTAGAACTCATTTGGGAGTACTTTCGGAACTGCTAAAAGCAGTTGTCTTATAAAAATGATGTTTGGCAAAAATTATATACAAATTTATAAATAAACCCAATCCTAGACATGTATTTATAAAAAAACCCAAGTACTATTTAAACATAGAAACACACCCAAAATCAACCCCAAAGTCAACTTTTTGAGTGTGTTTATAAATGAGTTTTGAGTGTGTAATGATAGATTTTGGGTGTGTTTATATGTTTAAATAGTGCTTGAATTTTTTTATAATTTCAACCCCCATTTTGGGTGTTTTAGTGAAACTCCCAAAATTATAAGAGTGCTTTGCATGGGACTTAATGTCAACATATCGCGCATACTCAAACAGGTGGTTTCCACAATTCCAATCAATTTGGAAAATTCTCTACAATTTCCTTTCAAGTCTAGCTAAACGTAGACTAAAATCCCATGACATGAAAATTCCCAACAGTAGTTCCTACCTTGTTAACATAAATTAAAAAATTGACAAATTACAAAGGCTAGAATACAATAAATTATACAGTAAGGTACAAAGCCACAATTCATTCAGTGTCATTTGCCCCGTGACCTGCCTCTCCTGTTGTATCTGCTGAGTCTGTTTCCCTTCTGCTTCTCAACGACGGGGGTGCTTTTTGAATTCGGCTGGGTCAGCTCCTGTGATAAATATTCGTCGGGCATACTAGAGCTGTTTTGGGAGCCAGTGGCAACAAAATCATTGTCCTTTGTGACATCCATATAATTTTCAATCGATTCGGGTACCTCAATACTAGCTTCACTCAAAGGCACGCCGTCGTTTTCCTTTGTTCCATCAACATCATTTCCATTTTTATTGGAGACCTCGACAGTAGCATCGTTGAAAAACTCATGGGCTTCTGCCTCCACAGTGAGATCTACAGCTACCTTCTCATGGCTTGAAGTGACTGGATTAGTTTCCCCATTAAGTACAGGGTTTTCTTCTATACCCAAGTCTGGTGCGGACAAACTGAAACACAGGAAACCAGTTCACTAAAAAATTTATGTAGATGATGCAGCACTGAAGCAATGGCATCAACAACCGCTTACCTAGCTACCGAAGAAGGGAAACCATTTGTGGTATAAACAATTCTTGATCCAGTCACCACTCCAGTTGTTGAACAGGTTATGTCGTGTAATTTTGAATCTCCAACTGAGAAGTAAACTGAGGTTAGTCAGTAAATCTAACTCTTCTGCCACAAAAATCTGCTCGAGTATAAATCATGCAGCAGAAGGGTAAAAGGGAATTTACCTTGTAAGGTTCCTCCTACGTCTGTGTTTCGCTGTTCAGTCCCATTAGAGTTCTTCTGCCCGCCAAAATCACCAGCAATAGTATCACTGTGACATACAAGGGGAGTTATATGTTATAAGACAAAACAATTACGGACCCAATCAAAGGGCAAAAGAAAAAAAGAGGGCAGTACAGATGCTAGAAAATGGATTCTCAACTATTTCTTTCCCACTTTTAAGTTTTATTTAGAACCGTTCCTTAAACACAGAAGCCCTGTTATTTGAAAACAACGAGTTTGATGTTACCAGACAAGTTTGCCATGCCTTATCATGTTGAGATCAGAGACAGATATGACACCTTTAAGTAAACTGCAAGCGGACATGCATAACCAACATCTTTAAGTAAGCTACAAACTGATATTCATACATAAACTTGTAATCAGAGGAAACCTGTATTCTAATAACCATTTTGTGCATGCGTTGAATGATTTGTGAAAATGTTACAGGAATTAGTTAACGGAAATTTTGGTTGGCTAATTAAGCTACCATTGTGGGAAAGGGTTAACCTGGGAGCAGTCTTCGTATCTTCAGATGCCTTAAGTCGCTGTCCAGTGGTTAACACCCCTTCTAAGGCATTCTGAGAACCTATTAGATGGACAAACTTTGTGAGTAGAAAATCAATTAAAATATACAGTATTGATATGAATGTGTGTATGTGTGTGCTTGTGGGCACATCTGTGCAGCAGAAACGTATAATCCATCTGAATCACTGTCAACAAAAGATAAAAGTGGAAATTACAAGCACCTCCTTTTCCATCAATTGCAGCGACATCTGAATCCTTCATAAAAAGAAAATAAAAGGTTATAACAAGGATCTGGTAGCTCAGAGTCTTCATCAAAACTCATTTTGAAAGAAGGAAAGAAAAATTATGTATAATAGGCTATACTCAAATTCTTGGGAACCTGATTTTGTTCGGAACTGATAATAGCCGGAAGTGGCAAAGCTTCTTTCTGCAACCCATACTGTGTCTTCTCCGAAACTGAAAGAGCAGAAAATAAGGTTCCATGTCTTAGATTTCCTATATTTTAGTTTTCCTATTTTCTAAAAATTAAAGGGGAGTGTTAATATCATTTCAGTAGGGGAGTACTATCAATAAAATGAGATTAAAAACCTAAGGGAGGAGAGCAGGATGACTATTTTGGAAGGCTAATAACAGCTTTGATAAAATATAAATATATGCAATATATTCATAAATTGATGACAATAGAGTATTGGACTAAACTAACAGATTTAGTTCAACCCAGTAAAGAAAACATACCATTGGAGCCATAGGACGTAGTTACTCCAGAGGACAAGTTCACGTTTGCACCTGTGGAATTCTTAGAATTGTGAATTTTATCTCCCATTTCAACTTCTTGTTTTCCATCCACCAAATAACCCGAGGTACTTCTATTTCCTAAAGTAGATGCAGACCAATCAATTCTTGTCGAAGGTAGGGACCTCAGCAATTCTTCTGTTGCCTTCGATCGCACTCTTCGTATTTCCTCCTGGATATTCCAGGATCCAGTGGCACGGGAGTCCCTTTTCAGCTGCATTGAAATTTCAGAATGCACAATCAGAATATCAATAAAAGAGAATACCTCCACATTTCTCTCTACCAATCCAAAAGATATTTCCTCATTTCTGTTTCACACTTAAAACAAAGAAAACAGAAAGAATGTGTCAACAACTTCCCACAGTTACTAAAAGAAGAAAGAAACATATGTGGTTCAACATCAACCTCCAATGTGTTATTTGTTAATCTGCATTAACTGTTAACAAATGGTCATTCTGCAGTTATATGAGAAAAAACTTCCTTTCATGCTTCAACATGTACCCAGATGTGAGTGCCAATGCCTTGACTTTGGAACCAAAACATTGTCTTAACACATGGATGAGTCGTTGTGGATCCACTCTACTCAATATTTATCCATTTAGGGTTAATGATTAGCTCGTTTGCATCAATATTGAATCACGACCTTATTCAAGGGTTTCCCGGAATTTTACAACCATACAAGCTATAATTACTTGACCCAGCATACACTACGGGTGGGCATTCAAACTGGAAAACCAAGCCATACACAACAAAATCTGACTTTTTTTTAGTTACTACAAAATTCTAGACTTTCTCCATTAAATTTGCAGCTCACCTTTGCTTGCTGTTCATAGTTACACAGAACCATAAATACCAGAATTTCTCTAACCCACATAATCCTGATTCAAGAAAAAGTCATCATC